CAAGGTTCAAAAGACTATGGACATTCGCTGTGGTATATCTTCGTCCTCTTCAGATTGGTCTGCAACTGGCTCGAAAGAAAAACGTTTGTCTGGTCTGACTTTAGTGTGGCAGCCAAGACTGGTCTCTTACTCCACTAGCCCAGATAAACCTAATCCGAGATATAATTGCACGAGCTTAGAAGAGGAGGATTCTGCTTCAGACTGGGTAAGTGTAGATTATGAGTCTCTGAAAGAGGAGTTGTATGTTGAAGAGTCCAGCTATGGTAGCATACAGAGTAAATGTCGTTCAAGGTTTGGGGAGGAAGATGACCCAGGATTAAAGTTACTGTTCGAAGAAGAGGCTTGTACACTTCCAGGTTTGGCCTAGAAAAGAGTTGGAAAGAAAGAAAACAGGCTCGGGTGAGGAGAAAACCGAAACAGGGAGAAAAGGGGATTCAATCCTTTGTAAAGACCAGGGAATGGGTGCTTGTACGGTGTGTGTTGGCAATCTGGTTCCCCCACTGCAATCAATCCAGATCTTGATTTCGAGGGTCCTATTCCCAGCGAAAGTCAAACAAAAGGGGTTCAGGCTATTCCAGCAACTCATATTGYRTCTTCTTCCTCCCAAGGTTTGGATTGTTTTCAGGTTCAGTTTTTGGTTACTAACTCTGTTTTTCCAAGTCTTGTGTGTGTCTGGCCTACAAGTGATTCCAGCCCAGCTTTAAAGTTTGCCGGTTCGTTTGATTCGGGACAAGTGACAGAGGTAGTGGGGGAGATAAATTCAGAAGCAGAAGAGAGAGAACTAGGGGACAAAATTTGGGAGTTGATCTTGGAACTATTTAGAATCAGAATGGAAGAGGAGCTGAATGTGAAAGAGGGTAGGGTTGAGGAGGAGATTATTCAATTTCCCAATACAGTGGATACAGTGGAAAATCATAAGGACAACGGAAAAAGAAGAAGAAGGGGTCAGGTAAGAAACTAGAAGGAATTGAGAAGGTGGAAAAGTCTAGTAAGAAGGTAGGAGAGCTTTCTAAGAAGAGGAAGAAAAAGCTGAGTGAGGTGGAGAGGTTGAAGAGTGGGGTGGTTTATGATAAAGCGAGTGGGGGTAGGAAGGATAGAAAAAAGGACTAAAGAGGGTGGTTTGGTTGGGGCTACCTGAATTGTTTGTCCATGAAGTTAATAAGCTGGAATGTAAGAGGTTTGGGGAGTTCAAAGAAAAGGTGAGTGATCAAAGATTTCTTGAAAAGAGAAGAACTAGATGTGGTCTTAATACAAGAATCAAAGTTGTCTGAGGTGGACGAGAAATGGGTGAGGAGCATTTGGTCAACAAGAAATTTGAGTTGGGCCTTTGCACAATCGTGGGGAGCTTCAGGGGGAATTATTACTTTATGGAGAAATGAAGACTGGGAGTGTGAAGAAGAATTAATTGGGAACTTCGCGGTGTCAATAAAATTGAAGAGAAAGGAAGATGGGTGGGCTTGGGTGGACTGAAGTGAGGGCTGAATAGTAAGCAGACAAGCTACGGTTTCCCTGCTTAAGTAGCGGATTCAGCCTGTAACTGATAAATCTTTGCGTAGTGTCTCTGCTCTGAATAGGTTGATTTAGCCTGTTCCCATATCTCATTTCCTGTATCAGCCCATATAAAGTTCCTTCTCACTTTCAGTTCCTTTTCCACAAGGAGCCATGACATCACCATACTATTCTTCTGATCCTGCCTGTTATGTTCAGCAGTCCCTGTCTTGGGTTCCTTGACCTTTCCATTGATATAATAACTGGCTTTTCCCCTGGATGTAACATACAGCTTTACTCCCTTAGACCATTCTAGATAATTTAATCCATTCAATGGGGTAATAGGCATAGGGAAATTCATACTGTCAGCCCCAACAGTAGGTGTTCCCTAAGGTGATGTAATTTCCGATGATGCAGAATCGTCAGTTTCCATTTACTGAAGCACCCGACCACCAAAAACACAATCTGATCTCACTAGATGGAACCCAGCACCTCAGTCCAGCAGTCTTGGAGGAAAAAATAAGGGACCAAACCCTAGTCGAACAATAGGAACTGCTGAGACCCTTCTCACACACTGGCTACACAGCCAAAGAACAACTTTTCATCACTAACACTGCACACACTGCTAACAGCATATACTTGTTGTGCACTGGATCACACAATCCACTACAGCCACAAGAGAAAGGCACATGACCCCAAAAAAGACTGTTTACAGCATTCGGCTACCACCAATTACTTCCGTTGGCACTACAGATAAGAACAAAAGGGAAGGAGAGACATATGATTGCTGGTCTGATCAGTCCGAAAGAATGAACTCTTTCAACAGTTGAGAAAAAAAAGGAAAAAAGGATTTGAAGAGAGAAGTTGATCTCAGATCTTTTAATGCCCAAGAAGGTGCTCTGATACCATATTCTTCATCAAAGAATTGGTAAGGAGAAGAGAGGAGAAGAAGATGAAGAGATCATAAGAGAACCGAAGAGAAGAAAGATAGGTTGAGAGGCAAAAATAGGGCTGGTGGCGCCTCTTGTATTATTTATACTTAAGCGACATAAAGAGAAAGGAAATTACAAGAGTGCCCTTGCAGCTCATCCTATCAGAAAAAATATAAAATCTCAACAAGGCATCGATGCCAAAATATCTCCAGCTTCCGCTAAGAAGTTAGCCAGCCTCCAAGGGCCTCCCCCCTTCTTCTTCAACCAGTTTATAGTATTAGCGGATTCTCCCTCTGTAGCTAAAGAAGATATACCCAGCTCTTTGGCTATGAGGAGACTGGTAAGGACAGCTGGAAACTCGGCTTTTGTAGAGTCGGCCACCCCAACCGGACCACTAAAGGCCCAACAAATTCTTCCATCCCTTATTACTTCTCTCATACCAGCCTCACCAGGGTTCTCTCTAGAGCATCCGTCAAATTTCAACCTCAACTCCTTCCGAAAAAAAGAGGTAAGACTAGGAAGTAGGAAGGATAACCAAGTCTTGTGTGAAAGGACAAGTGGTTTCTTCCATCTTTTGGTTCTTCACACAGCACATTATGCAAACTTAGAAATAACTTGTCTTCAAGAAACAAAGTGATTTACGGTTAGGATGCTAGAAAACAAGACCAGTTACATAATATACTATTTCCAGGACAATTATTCACTCTCTTAAATTTCAAGACAATTGGAATGACCAGTGTATTGCTCTACTGTCTACTAAATCTGTTTTGAATATTGCAGTTCAGACTAGGTTTTGGCATTGCTACTTATTATTGAGTTTTTAACTGTATTAATCTATATTGCGCATTTTATCTACACATTTTTCTGATCCATATTTACTCTTACTATATTCTTTTCTCAGCTTCAATTTGTATAAGAATGTATGGTACCTAATTAACTATGCCTACCTGCTTGTTTCTGCTTTCAACTTTTTCTTTTTGATTAATTAATCTCATTTGAGTTTCTCATTACCTCTTATAGCAATTGATTTACCATCTCCATATCACCGGTGGCATGTATCAAACTCTTCGGTGGCACAGGTCGACTCTATGATGGGATTGACTCATTCATTGAACTTAGGAGTTACAACTATCACTGTAGAAGACACTAGAGTTTCAGGGCACGCGCAAATGTCATCCCTTCATGTTGTTCTCCCAGATGCTATGTATTTGTATATAGTGCCTTTGAGTATATCTGGTGATCCCATGGAAGGTATCACAGCTATTCCAACAGCCCATTGGCATGTTGTTGTTGGCCGACAATATGTCATTCACATGAAGGTTTTCTCCCGTGGACCTTATGCACATGAAATATACATTACAGAGGTATTAACTCTCTCTCTCTCTCTCCCCCCTCCCACTTAGTAGTATTAATTTAAAAATGGATTTGAAAAGTTTACAGATGCCAAAGCAAGCTTTATCATGTATGAGGATGATTAGTATGTATTGGTACTTTGATATTACTTATTATTGTGCAACAAATATTCTCATCATCATCGTCATCATCTAAGTCTTATCCCAATTATATGGGGTCAGCTTCATGAATCCTGTTTCACCATTCCATTCTATTTAATGCCATATCCATTGTTAAATTATGAGCACTTAAGTTATTTCTTACTACTTCAATCCATTGTTCTGCCCCTAGCCCTTCTAGCTCATCATCACTGTCATCATCTAAGTCTTATTCCAATTATATGGAGTTGTATGATTTGGTGATTTCTTGTCACCCTATTAGATGTGTTCTTTTTTTCTTAATAAATTCTCCTTTTTATTTCCAAAAATCTTGTTATTGTTGTTGTTGTTTTTGTCGTCGTGCTGTTTTCTCTTATTCTCTCTCTAATCATTAGTCAACTGCTAGAGAGTGGTTTCTTCAATTGTTCTTACATATTCTTCTATTTATTGCCCATTGATTCTTCTTAAGCTTCTACTGTTGTTCTGTGTGATGAAATCTGGTTGCATTACCCAACTCAGCACTTAGCCCTCATTTAGTTGCACTAATCATGGACATGGATGAAATACTAAACTTGTTCAGGTGGAGGTTCCATGGTGCATGTTGGTTGCTGATGATATGGTATTAATTGATAAAACAAGAGAAGGATCAAATGCAAAATTAGATTCATTGACAAATACCTTAGAAACAAGAGATTTTAAAATAAGTAGGACTAAAACAGAGTTTATGCTATATAAATTTAATAATAATTGGAGTGGAAATCGGGATACATTTGGGATTACCAGCCAAGAGATATATCAATGTGATCTCTTTCCTTATCAGGTTTGATAATCAATAACAATGAAGAGATTGAGGAAGATGAAGGGTTCCTCATAGAAATAGAGCAGGATGGGCAAAATGGAGGAGCTGCATCTGGAGTCTTATGTGATAGAGTACCACTTGGGCTAAGAGGAAAGTTTTATAACAGTTATAGGGCTTGCAATGTTGTAGAGTGTTGGGCAATCAAAGAAACAAAATATATGATGAGTGTGGCAGATGCAAATTTTAAGATGAATGAGTGGGAAAACTACAAAGGATGGAATCAGAAATGAACTTCTTTGAACTTCGAAGATACCTAAGAATAGGTCCAATAGTTGATAAAATGAGGGAAAACAGACTAAGATGGTTTAGGCATGCACAGATAAGGCCATCTACAGCAGCACTGAGAAGAAGTGTTCTGTTACAAGTCAAGGTGCTGGAAGAGCTAGGGGGGAACCCAAAAGGACATGGTCTGAACTCTGAAGTAGTAACAAATGGTTTTAGGGCCCATAATTTTACAATGTATATGATTTGTTTTTGAAGAGTAAAGAAGAAATGTATTAAAATAAAAAGAAAAGTACAATCTGACTGGGTGTCAAGATGACACACCACACCAGTTAGTCACCAAGAAACAAGTTTACATTACAAACTTGAGTCTCAAGAACATCCCAAAAATTTCCACCAAATCTGCACTGTTTACTTGCTCAAATTCTGGAAGGACTAGAACCCAGCTTGAAACCAGCTTTCTGACTGAGGCCACCAAAACTTCAATGCTTTTTGATTTGTCTTTGAAGAGCCTTCTATTCCTTTTCTTCCATAATGTCCAGCACACAGCTACTGAACACAATGGAATAATGGAACAAGATTCTTATATGTGACTCATATAGTTGGAACAAGGTTTAGACAATGATGATAATGGAATTAAGAACTGTCTAGTTCAGACCTATGGTCAAGAAGAACTGGATAAATGTTTGGAAAAGGATTTGGCTCATATTTGGTCATTATTTTTTTCCTTTACTAATTGTAGTCCATTCATGTTCTAAAACATTTACTTGGCAAGTTGGCATCTCCTTTTCTTATTATTCACTTGGTTTTCTTACTTAAATATTTCTATTGTATGTGGCAGGGAGACGACATTAAATTGTGCTACAATCAATCTTTGTATTGGGACATACTCTTAGTACAAAATAGTATTGCTGTTAAACATGGTTGGCGGAATTCTAGAATCCTGAAAGCAACTTCACAGGGAATGGGAAGATTAACAGCTTCTTTAACCCATCATACTGAGCACCCAGCAGCAACAGAGGTGACAACATCTTTTATATTTGGTTGGAAGTGAAATTAGAAATACATGGGAGGGATGTGGAATACATTACCTTATAGTTTCAAAAAAAGTGTCATTCTTCCTTGTCAGAGTATACATGGGAGGGATTTGATTATTGTGAAAGAAATATTACTTAATCAAGATTTGGTTGTTCCCATGATGATTTTCTTTTATAGGTTCTCAAGGTTGTGCAAGAAGTCATGGTTTGTGATCAAGTGAAGTTTAGATTGGGCGAAAGAACTAATTTTTCTCATAGCATTTACCTTCCCTGGGCTCCTGGTGTTTATCAGGAGGTGGAGCTAAGGGCAATGGGAGGTCAATGTTTTTTTTTTTTTTATAATTAATGGGAAGTCAATGATTTTGACATTTTCCCTTATAATGTTTAAATAAATTAATAGCTTTTGAGTTTTGAAACTATTGATGGACTAGGGAGTTCCACAAACTGCTGCAGGTTGTGCAAAGACGTCCAGTGATTATAAGTGGTATTCCTCTGATGCAGCCACTGTGTCTGTATCTCCTTCTGGAGTTATCCAAGCAAAGAAGCCTGGTCAAGCTTCTGTTAAAGTGGCATCCATTTTTGACTTAACCAATTATGATGAGGTATTGGTTCCTGTTCAGTGTTCTAGTTTTGCGTAGTACTTGCACTCTACCAAACATTTGGTTATTGGTTGAATTTTTGCATGTTACTGTGCTTGACTGCTTGAGTTAACCTGTTCTTTAATGTAAGGATAGCAAGAAGGTATCATAGACTTCCAGTCTTCAATTATAAACTAGAATTCCCTAAATATCTTTAAGTTGAATTGACAAAATAAGAAAATGCAGTATTAGAAGACCAATATTTTGTTTTATTTCCTTTTCCTATTGGTAAAATGATGATGTTTTATTGAGGAGTAATGATACAGGAAAAAGGAAAAATGGAGTGACCATGAGATACTGTCACAAGCACAAAGAAATTGTCTTCTGTCTATGGCCCTCTTGGTTACCAACTTAGTAATTGTCTCCTCATTTGCTAACCTCAATCTGCAAGAAGAGAGACAGGATATGATTGAAGTCCTAATTTCTTTTGTTATACGAGACAACCTCCTGAAAAACTTATATTTCTCCTTAATTCATGTTCTGTTGTTTGTGTAGACTTTATTTCCTGTATTTTCTTTTTCAAAAAATAACTCTTTTCTATTTGAATTTTCCATAATTCAGATTGCATATGATAAATGAGTTTTATTTTCACTTCCACTGCTTATAGCTGCCATCACATTATTGCCTTCTGAAGTGGTAATGATTTTTATAAGTTGCCTTACTGTGTGGCATCTTCCCTGACTTCATGTTCTTATTGTTCCTGATATAGGTGATCATTGAAGTTTCTGTCCCTTCATCTATGGTAATGATGCAAAACTTTCCTGTGGAGACTGTTGTAGGAACAAATCTTCAAGCTGCAGTTACATTGAAAACATTCCATGGTAGTATCATACCCCTGAGTTATCCAAAGTTATTTTGTTCCTATTTGGTTATCTTACTGCATCTTCTCATTCTTTTTTGCATGTATTCTCTTTGGCATTTTTCAGGTGCCTCTTTTTATAGATGTGATGCTTTTTGTTCGTCTATTAGGTGGAAGACTGGAAGTGAGTCTTTCAAAATTGTCAATACTACAGGGGATGCATTAGCATTGGACAAACTGCTGAATATTAAGGACTTTGACTCGCTTTATGGTCCTCCATGTTCATGGACCTACATATATGCTTCTACTGCTGGTCGAACTATGCTGCATTCTACATTGTCCAAATTGTGGCAAACTTCTGATCATCCTTTAGATGGTCCCATTGTTCTAAAAGCATCCTCACATATAGCTGCATATCAACCGCTTATTGTCTACCAGGCAGGGGATGGGAACAAGTTTGGTGGTTATTGGGTTGATTTGGCTAATGCGGAAGCTGGAAATCAGTTGGAAAACTTGGATGAACTCTATCTTGTTCCTGGAACAGGATTAGATGTAATGCTCCTTGGAGGACCTGAAAGGTGGAATGAAGGTACTGAGTTCATTGAAAGTATTGAAATTTTTGATGAAGAATATAATCCTCTCAAGGATGAAGTAATTGTTCATCAGGCATCTACCAGTAGTGATGGTGTATATGGAGTTTTATGCCACGCATTGGGAAACTATGTAAGGCCCTGTTATTTTATACTTTGGCTAATTTGCCTTACTATTTCCTAAGTTACAAAACTTATATGTTCATAATTTCTTTGTCTTGCTTCATGTCATAGAAACTAGTATTTTCACGTAGCAACTTAGTTGGGGATGATCATCCAGTGCCAGCTATAGAAAAATCGGAATTGTCCCTTACATGTAGCTTTCCTGCCTCAATCACACTGATTGCTAATGAGCCTGGTATGTTTGGAGAGCTAGGAAGTATCCTCAAATATTTACACTTGTACTTAAAGATTTGCCACTTGTCACTGACATGCTGTTAAATGTCCCCTTGCCCCAAGCCCAAAAAAAAGGAAGAAAGAATGAGGTTGCCATTTAATTGTTTTTCCATGTTTTTCAGTGAATGCACTTGATCTTGTGTGGTCTGCAACACAAGCTGATCGTAATCCAGGGAGGATTCGTGTTATCCCTATTACTGTTGCAAATGGCTGTACTATTCGTGTAGCTGCAGTTGGTATCCATAATTCTGGAAAGGCTTTTGCAAACTCATCTTCTCTTTGTTTGAAGTGGGAGCTGAGCAGTTGTGATGGCCTAGCATATTGGACTAATGATAATGGCCTGGAAAGATCCAGTGCCAGTTGGGGGAGATTTCTGGTTTTGCAGAATGTATCAGGACTGGTATGATCTGATTATATGTTCCATATTTGTTTTTCATTGTGTACATTATCTTTTTATACTTCTTGTTGATAAGAACTCAAAATTTTTGGAATTATATTTTGTTATATACCTTACTAAATATGGTCAAATCCTTTTTTGTTTGGGCTTTTGGTGTTGTTACATTCATAAATTGTTGTTATTGTTAAATGTATTTTCCATGTATTCTATCTTCTGATTGTTTTTTAGGTGTTATTGGTAATGTGTTCATGTCATGATTGGAACTAATATTTTTGTTCTTCTAAAGCATCAGAACTTTCTAGTAATTTGAACAACAACTAAGTTTTCAGGAATTTGTTGATCTATATGTTTTGTTTACTCCTTGGTGTCTTTGCTCGATTTTACCAAGGTTGGTGAAGTGGTGTTCAACGGTTAAAAAAAACTGATGTTCAAAAGTGAAGCATGCTAGCAGGCACCACAGAGGGTTTATCAGTGGACTTCACTGCACACAGACATGGTGTATAACCATTAGTCTTTTCCACTAACCTCACCTCACATGGGTTTCAGCATGTTTACAGTGGGCTGAAGTCTACTGCTAAACCTTGGAAAAACCTGCTAGAATTCCATGCCAAAATTTTAGTGAACTATTTGGTCCTTAACTGGAATTTGGATAGAGTAACTGTCTCAAGTCCATCATTATTTGTAACCTGAAACTGGAGGTGTCAAAGCATACTCATTCAGCTTGATTTTAATATCATTAGAAAAATTATTCAATTACCTATCCCCCAAGCTCACAAGTTCATGCAATTCTGCCATGAGCTTAGTTCTGGGAAACATATGGACAACCTATGAATTTTTGATGACATTCAATGTTTAGGGTTTATTTGAATCTTTTAGATTAGATTTTTATTGTTTGAGGATATTGGTTCAGAAATTATTTTCTTTGTAGAAAGTTGTCTCAAACATGTATTGGGTCAATGGCTTTACTTTTAGAAGTTTTTTATGAGTTTTAATCAGTTTTAGAGAATTAGGTGGTTTTCGGAACCATGGTCATCTCATGGATGGTCCGTTTCGATCCATGCCACGGGATGGCCACATCATTCGGTTTTTTGTGGACAGGACTGGTCCATAATATGTCATGGATTGTCGCTGTCTACAACCCAAAATCTCGACAACACATATATCTCGTGGATGTGATCGGTCCACAACATTTCAACACTCTATTTTAATACAATACATCTCTACATACTTTTCTTTATAATGTTAATTTTTAATATTTTTATCAATAAAATAATAATTTTAATGTTAGTTCTAGCACAAGCTCGTTAGTGCTCCTTCTCCATTCTTTTTTCACTTATGTAAATATTATTTTTTAAAGTTTTCATCAATAAAATAATAATTTATATTTTTTAATTATTTGACTATATTTTTTATATTAAATTTATTATTTATTGGTTATTATTAGTTTATCGATGCCTTTTTCAATTTATTTATCATATAAAATGTAAAAATTAAACATTTATAATCGACTGTGTAGATCACTTCATAAACTGTATATGGGATACATGGAATCAAGAGTTGTGGTGGAATGGTTTACACTACACCTATAGAATGCCACTATGGGTGTAGATTGGTCCAGTCCTCACAGTTTGTCCATAGTTCAGAACAGTTGTGGACTATGATGTGGTGTGGTGTGGACCAGACCACTCAATTTCTCATCCACACACAGAACACCCCCTTACTGTCTATATTCTGTAGTTAGTCTTTAGGATTTCTTAGACTAGACATATCAAAACAAGGTGTTTTAATACTAGCCAAATAAGCCTATATGAAGCATAGTTATAGAAATTGTATGATTTACAATATGATTGTTTAAATGAACCCTAAGGCTTCTTATTCAATGCTTATATGTAAAAGAATCTTTTGATTATTGTTTTAATCCTATTATTTGATTTGTTAATATCATATAGTTTATTAATTGACATGATTCAAATTAAATTGGTTAGGATCCAATTTTCATACCTTGTCATTTCCTTTTTTTGTTTTAAATCATTTTTTTCCCAAGGGGCTTTTATTTCAAAACCCTTGCTTGACTGAAAATTTGTTTGGGTTATTAAAATCTATTTAAGGACAAATTGGTCTAGTTTCTTTCAGTATGTAGGTTAAGTAACCATTATGTGGAGGTCAGTTAACCCTGATGTTAAAACTTGATTAAGTTTCCTATGTAATTCAATCTTCTCTGTGTTTTTTCCCATCACTTAGTATTTTTGGGAGGTGAAGTGTGTTAGTGTCGACTGTGTAGGGGTAGTTTAGTCTTTTTATTTATGTTTTGATGTGAGGTGTAATGTTTAAGTTAGGTTATGTGTCCCATACTTAAGTAGGGGCATAACAGACCTTTTGCTTTATTATAGAAAACTATAAATATAACCTGGCTGACTAGAGAGAGTGACTTTTCTCTCTTGTTCGAACCAGTTTCTTCTTCTCCTGTCTTCTCCTCTTCTTCTTCTTCTTCTTCTTCTTTCTTCTATCCCCTCTAACCTTCTTCTACCACTATTTCTAACTAAATTCTAGTGCAGGTCTGAACTTTATCATGGTACCAGAGCCACTATGACAAATTCAGATCTGCCTAGAATTCTTTTCCATCGCCATTCAGCCTAGGGTTTTCTAGATTTCTTCATCACCTATTGGAGATAAGAAAAAGGGCTGAAAAGGAATGATCACCCTTTCCCTTTGGAGGTTTTCATGCCTCTGGTCAGTGGTTTAGTGGGTGTTTGTAGGAAGCCCTCTAATCGATGGTACGAAGAGGGTTGTTTCAGGTGGTGCAGTGGACAGTCGAGTGCAGGTTGGTTTTTTGTTGATCAAATAGGTGGGCTGTATGGGTGTTACAGTGTGAATCTAGTGGTTGGTGTGTTGCTATGGTCATGGTGTGTATTCAAGTAATTTTGGTGTGCTGAGAGAAGAATATCAGTGATTGTTATTGTTGAAAACTATGACTGTAGGTATTTTCATCAATAACCTGTCACTAGTGTGTAGTGTGGTGAGGAGTGAATTAGAAGTGTGATATATAGGTGAGAGGAAAAAAAGGAAAGGGAAAGAAAAAACAATTCAGATATGGGAGACAGTAGTGAACACAAATCTAGTGTTATGGTTCCCACCGATTACCTGAATGTTCAGATGGCTTCTATCAAATTGAATGGGGAGAACTATATGCCTTAGGCAAAATCTGTAGAGGACTTTCTTAGGGCTAAGAAGAAAGTGAAGCATGGAAGAGACGAAAAACCTCCCGTTGATTCTCAGGAGTATAGTGGTTGGGAACAAGAAGATGCACAAATTATGACCCGGTTATGGAATAGTATGGAACCCAAGATCAGTGTGAATTTTATGTTCTTAGATACATCCATGGAGATTTGGAACCATGCCAAGAATTTGTACTCTGGACAAGACAATACTACTAGAGTGTATCAACTTTATCAAGAGTACTTTAATCTACAACAGGGTAATCAAAGTCTTGAGGAATACTATGCTAGCACGAGGAATCTTCGTAATGAGTTGAATGTGTACCATCCCCTCACGTCTGATGTTAAGATTCAGCAACAACAAAGAGAGCAACTAGATGTAACTAGATTTTTAGTAGGGTTGAAACCTGAATATGAATCACTGAGAGCATGGGTTTAGGTGGGTCATCTCTTCCTTCTCTAGAAGAGGTGTTTGCTCGACTTGGGAGGATTTTTGTTGGACCTATAGAGAATTCTAATATCTCTGACAGGTTTGCCTTTGCAGTGACGAGAGGGAGAGGTCATGGAGTTAGAGGTGGAGCTTGGGGAGTTTAGCCTGGTCGTAGTGGTGGTAGCGGACCCATGTATGGTCGTAGTGGTGGTGCTAGACCCATTTATAGTCGTGGTGATGGACGTATTGGAGGTCGAGATTTAGGGGGAGCTCGTGGCAGAGGACGTAGTAATGGTCCGAGGAGGTGTACACATTGTGGTATGGAAGGGCACACTATTAGCTTTTGTTATGATTTGCATGGCCCACCTTCAACTTGGTCAAATCATGTAGTGGCTGGCCAGTGATGGTAGTTCAAGATAGGATATTCAACAAGTTGATCAGATGCCTTCTACATCTACGAATGTCTCCGGGAAGGAGATGATGAGTATGAACGGTTTATGTAGGCCACGCCTCAATAGAATATAGCTACCCCTCACACTTTCAAGTATGGATTGTCTGGCATCCAAACCCACCCATTGGATTATCGACTTTGGAGCTTCCGATCACATCACTGGGACTTCGGGTGTGTTTTCTTCCCTTTCTCAGTGCTCCACATCACACTCTATTACCTTTGCTAATGGTTCCACATCTTCTATTTGTGGTGTTGGTAATGTTGACATAGACCCTTTATCCTTGTCCTTAGTTTTGTATGTTCCCAAATTTCCTTTTAATCTTATGTTTGTTAGTAAGATGACCAAGTCTCTTAATTGCTCTATCACCTTTTACCCTTCTTCTTGTGTTTTTTAGGATCTCAAGACAGGGTTGAAGATTGGTGGAGGGCATGAAGCTGGTGGACTGTTTTATTTTGATGGTGGTGGTGGTTCGCCAACAGTTCTTCAGACATCTCTTTCTCCACTTCACTGGCACTATAGACTTGGTCATCCATCGCTCAAAGTATTGAAGTCACTTGTTCCGTCGTTGAGTCGCTTTTCTGTTTTGGATTATAAGTCGTGTCATTTGGAGAAACATCATTGTGTTCCCTTTAGTTCTAGGGTTGATAATCGTATGTCGAGTCCTTTTTCTTTAGTTCATTCAAATGTTTTGGTTCCAAATAAAATAGTGTCATACAATGGTTACAAATACCTTGTTATTTTTGTTGATGATTATTCAAGGATGACATGGCTTTACCTTATGAAAGAGAGGAGTGAGTTGTTTTCCTTTTTCCAAAAATTTTTTGCTGAAATTCGCAACCAATTTGGTGTACACATTAAGATTTTTCTTTCTGATAATGGTTGAGAATACTTTTATACACTGTTTCA